AAATCAGTGAAACTTCAGTTTGAGAAATTCTTTGTAGTAGCAAAACAAATACAACAGTAGCAAGGGATGTTGCTATATTCATGGCAGTTTTTCAGAGGATAGTAGGAAAAAGCACACATCTTTAGGAAATCAGAGAGTTTCCAAGACATCGCAAGGCAGACTTAGTGGAAGATGATAGAAACTAGAAACTTTGAAAAGCTGACAAAAAAAGTTCTGGTTGTTGCTTTATGAATTTTCTGAAAATCAAGAACAGTGAGGAAAAGTTTCACTTTCTTTCTTGCTGGAGAGAAAGAAGCTGAAAAATATTTATACTTGTGGGAAAAAAAAGTAACAAGATACTTTTTATAACTTGTAAAATGGTGGCTTGTTTTACAATAATTACTACCAAGGAGTTTGTCTGCAGTTAAGAGGAATAAGAATGTATATATTTGTACATTACATGCAGAAGCAAATATTTTCATGGATATATGTGTTCCTTAAGAGTGAAAGGCTGCAGTAGTCTACAGTTATGCTGATCTTCATTGAGCCAGGAAGATGGGGAAGGAAACCCAGGATCATTTTGGAATTTGTATCTAAGAGACTAACTTATTAAAAAAATCCCTTGGGTTTACCATACATGGATAGAGTAATTTTAATAGTGGAACATAGGGCTGCTGGCAGAGGAAAGTAAGGAAGGATTCTTTTTGTGTTGCCTGGTAATCTAACTTTCCTTCTAGTGTCAGTAGCCATCTAGCATACCATTACAAGAGGATGCAGGGTTGCAGAAGAAAAAAACTAAATCAAGCAATTCAATTTACCTCTAAGCAAGTGCTTATTCAACCAGGTGATGTCCAAAAGGAATGATTATTGATACATTGAAAAAGAAAAAAAATTGCTATAATTCCTAGCCATAATTGGGGGGAAATGACTGTTGACATACTATTTAATTTAAGCAAGTAGAAATGCACAGAAACAAAACCAACCAATGAAACAAAACCTAACCATAAAAACTACAACCCAGCACCTCAAAAAGCCTGTTAATCATGAATAATTGTCCTTCTGCTAATGTTATGAAAGATGCTGTTGACTAAAAGACTGCCAGTTTCAGTTCCTGGATAATAAAAAATGTGTGAAAAGCATTAAATGTTACTGCATTTTGCAGTGAACAGGAAGCTGGTAGTCTCCTCCTCTGCTGTAGCAGTTGCACTCTTGGGTAGATGAGGTGTGAAGCTGGGGATACACCGAGGTCTGCCCATGGGAGCAGGAGCTGCTGTTCTGCCTGCGCTGGGACAAGGCAGCTGCTGCTGAGGAAAAGAGTTTGGCTGTGTCTTGCACTGTACATGGGTATCAGACAGTGCAGGTTTGCTCCTGGGGTAAGAGGAAATTGCACACAGCATTTTTGTGAGCACTGATGAAGAATAAGTCTTCTGGCCTTACTTTGTACCACTTGTTTCTGTGAAGAGCAAAGCAAGAACCTGCTGTAACTTGATGAATGTAGGCACGAATGCTGTGAGACATCTTTGACATCTTCACCTGTATCAGCCCCCAAAAAATGAGATCAGTAGATCTTTGCTGAAAGTACATATTATCTTGACTGTAATTAATAGTTTCGTTAATTTTCATTCCACTTAATAGTAATTGATTTCCATTCTACTTAATATTGCTTGTAACAAATGATACAAAATTGTATTCAAATGCATTAACCAAGCCAGGTAAAAATCTTAGCAGAGTAGTCAACATGTACAAAGTGAATGCTCTGTATTTTGCTGGTTTTGTTCTGTGGGTTCAAATGCTCTCTAATTTCAAAAGCAATTTCAAAGCTTTTATTTTTGGACTAAGGATGTCTTCTTTTGATTTGAAATTTGCTTTGAACATAAATTTGCTCTAGTGAAATGTGTGTATTCTGTCATGATGTTGCTGGATTTTTTACATGCTGGATTCTGGTAAAAACAGCAGCCAGATTTTTTTGTTTGATGGAAAAGTCAGAAGAATTTTCTTAATGTACCTTAGAATTTTGGAAGACCCTCTTTGGGAGCTACGCTGTGCCCTCATGGTCATGACTAAATCAGGTGCATAACAGCTCTTGATGATACTCATAAATGGGAAGTTTTTTATTGTACTGCTTTGTTCTCCCCCCTCCATTTACTGTCAAAACTGACCTTTCACATACTAGATACTAGCAGCATTTTGAGCAAGACCTGGAGATTTTCACTTCTTAGGGCTTTCTGAAAGCTGGGGGCCAATTAGATGCTTTCTGTAGCGATAAGTGAATGAGGTAATGGATACAAAACAACCCAAGTCTTCTGGCCATGCATGCGAACATACAAGATAATTTTGGAAGGGTTCTTTTGTTTGGTTTTTTTTTACCCCCCAAATCTTGAGTCATTCCCTTATCTCAATAAAAGTTTTGTTTCTGAAAGAATTCTTTAAAATTACTCTCTTTAATCACAGTGCTGGAGAGAGATTTGATGGAGTTTTTAACAGATATTTCTGTAATGGAATTATGGTGATTTGTTCCTTAATACTGTTAGTCTCAACAGAACAGCTGTTTGCAGCCTCTGTTACTGCATTCATTTGGCACTGCACCTAAGTGTGGTAAAACTTCAGTTTTCATCTGAACTCCTGTATGTTCTGGAAGGCAGGGTGTCAGCATTGTAGGGCTGGTGCTCTGTGCCTAGCATAATTGGTATTGAAGTTTTTGGTATTTTGTTTCCAGCTTAAGGGGAGGGACCTTTTTGTTATCAGGATCTTTGCATTTCATCTCTTCTCCAATCCCCTTGTGTCCCTCCCTTCCTCAGACATTACATACCAAAAATATGAAGTAAAATGAGAATTGGGTATTCAGCAAGCAGCAAAAACAGAAGCATGCTTTTATGTTCATCAAAAAAGGATCAGTTGTGGAGCCAAGTCACTGACCTTTTCTTCTCAGCAAACATGGGACTTTCAGGCAGAGCTGTGATCTGCTTCATAGTGAACTTACCTGTTATGAGGAAGTTTGCAAACATGTTATCTGTGAGCACACACAGGACTCACTTGAGCCCTGGAATGTTGGTCTTAGGTCCTTTACGATTAATCCACCTTTCACTAATGGGTCTTGGTCTCACTGCAGACTGTGTGAGCTTTTTGTAGATTGATGCTTCCTGCTGAAGCCTCTACAAAGTATTCCACAGTTGTGAGGTTCACAGAGGACTAAATAAGACGCTTCTTGGTCCAACTCTAACCATGGTTTACATTTAGATGTTGAGTACAGTCTAGGGCTGTGCTCATTGTGGAGGTCAGAGAGGAAGCCTGTACTTAAACCAAGCTCTTCCTCTCCTTCTTCCCTAAAACCCTCCAGGACAAGCATAACCAAAGTGCCCTGCTGCTAAAGCTGTTAAGAGCAACTCAGAGATGCCAAGGCAAGTCAAGGGGAAGGGAGACTGGGGAGGTAAGAAGGTGCTGCAGGAGCCCTGCTATTTTAAATGCTCTTGCCCACAAAGGATCCATTAGGTTTTGAAACAGCTACTCAGGAGCATTTTGTCTGAGATAGCAGCATGGCTTTCTGAATCTTATGTGGCCCAGAAGGGGCATATATTCTGCTGTATTGGTCTTCGAGGCTTAATGCATACATTACATTATTTGTCAGTTGTGATACCCTGTAGGGCTTTGTGGTTATAGGTTCATCAAGAAAGGCCTATTTTATTTAGCAATTGGCATTTTAATTGCTCATAAACCTCTGTATCCGTAGCTCCTGAAGCAAGCATCTCTATGAAGAAGCCTTAAGATGTCATAATATTTGAAAGATAAAAATATGCTTTTTTTTGCTAGGACCTGTAATTTAGGCAGCAAAATAATTGGGTAGGAAGCATCTCATATCTTTTGTTGAATATGATATGAAAGACAGTTACAGCTTTTCAAACCTGGCTTAAAGTATGAATTATCCTAGAATATTTGTGTGGATCTAATTCAGGCAACTGTCAGACAGAAATATGCTATATTCTTTATATTGTCTTGCAGGGATGCTGTGGCTGTTTCCAAAGATTTTTTTTTTCTTGCATGAAATGAGGGGAATTTGTATAGCATAGTAAATACTGTGGAGACATTCAAACCAATTAATTGGTTCCATGAATAAGTTATTTCTAATGGAGGGAAGGGTAAGTTTGGATGGACTTAAGCATTCTTACAGCATCCTTGAGAGAGGCAAATCAGAAACTCTATGAGGTGTGTTACTTCAAATGTTGATATACTTTCCAGGCTACTGAAAGAACTATTCTTTGTCATTGGGGGTATTGGTGTGAAAATGTTATTTTATCTTCTTTTTAATTAAAGGACATATTAAAAAATCCTTCCTACCTAGCCTGATTCTCAGCCTGGGGCTTTAACATTCTGCTTAGTATCCGTTTTGTTGCTTTGATGCTCACCCATTGTATTTTAGATGAGTTTGACATTATGGTTTGCCTGAGCTACTCCACCTGATGGTGAAAACAAGAACATGCCTACTCTCAGGCACTGAGGATTTATTTGAAAAACTGTGGTCTAGGGAAAGCATTTAATGCTGTGTGTGCTGTGCGCTGCCTTAATCCAGGAGACTGACTGATGTTGTTCTGTCCCCTTTATACTCAAATGTAGAGTAGATAAGGCTATGTAAAGTTGAAGGATGGATCCTATATGGAGGAATGCCTATATATAATGACATGTGCAAGGAATCTTCTTTGAAATATTTAATCTGGCTGAAGTCAAAATTTCCTGTTGAGAATATAGTGTGAGATCTGACCATCCAAGCACGACCTGCTTACTTTCAGTCTACAGTCTTGCAAAAGTGAGGTCATTTGGTACCAACAAAAACAGGAAAGTTGCTGTAATTCATGCTGTGAAACTCTGAGAAATCTCATTGTTCTATTTGGTTTTCATAGCCACTATCAAAAAATGCAAATTCTAAGCTGTTCTTATAGTTTTAGTCCTTTGCTAGTATTAAATACATACACTTAACATAGCACAAAGTGGTCTGTAGTGACCTTTGGTTTGCTTTTTCTTTCTTTCAGACACCCTGGCTCTGGAATACCAGGCAGTGCTGGAGCGGGTATCCATATCAGGTAAAAGTTACAGTGCTGTCTAAAAACAAGCATGACGCTTTTGCAGAGCTCTGTTTTTGTTATGGTGGAGCTTTGTGCCAGTATGTTCCTGTGAATGGGCTACTCAGCATTTCAGAACATTCTTCCCATCTTGATTGAGTTCAAGATGGGAAAGATGAACATAGCTGTCACACCTGAACTCCACACATTAAATTCCAGAAGCTCCAGAGAAGAGTTTGCAGTTGAAGGAATTTAACCTAACCTAGGGTGGATATATATATATATATATATGTGTATATATATGTATATATATATATACACATATAGATAGATTAGATATATATGTATATATATGCATACATATCTATATCTATACCCTATATGTCTAGGGTATATATATATTTTTTTTTTTCTTCCCTAAGAGCAGGAAAGGGGGGAAAAAAGCAATTGCCTGACTGGAAAGTGTGAATAAGAGGATTGGCTCTCTTAGGCTGAGGGTCAGAGTGTTTATGTGTGCCATCAGTTACCTTCTTTGAAGTTACTCCAGGTTGGTTTTGGTTGTGGATTTTTTTTTATTTCTTTCGCTTTGAAACAACTCTGTAACCATGTTGTATGTCAGACAAGATACTTGGATAAATTTATTTTATTTTCTTCTTTCCAAGTGTTAATAAGTCCCCAGAAAATAGTTAAATTCTTCAAAAAGTAGGCTTTTCTATTATAAAGAGACCTGCTCAAAGCCCACATTTTCATCATGAGCAGATGAGCTTATATACTAGCATTACTTTTTTTCTAGTTTACTCTTGCATTGTTTTTTTGCTATGTTTTAAACCCTCATTACTGATATACAGCAAGATGTTTCAAGTAAACTTTCAAAAGAAACTAAGGAATACTTAGAATTTAGTTTGCTCTGGGTTCCAAATGGACAGCATAATAATTTTTTGTATTACAGTATTGTCAGGGCTAAAACATTAGAAGACAGTATGTTGGGGAGCTTTATTTTTCCAGAGCCATCAGAGTTTGAAAGAGGCAGTTATCATCATTTTTTTCACATAGGATGCATATGTATAATTCAATAATCCCTAAGGATTAAACATGCCTCCTATGGACCACAGCTGCCTGTACTGTCAGTTAGACTCTATTAACCTTTTCTCATCTCTTTCAGCCCCTGATGCCCGACCTTCATTACTACTACATAGTTGAATTGTCATTCTACTGGTCCTTAATGTTTTCTCAATTCATCGATGTCAAAAGAAAGGTAAGAACAATGAGACTAAAAACACTGAAAGCTTTATGCTTTAACATATCATTTTTTACTTGAGGAATAGCTGTATTACATGTGCAATGAACTGGAAATACAGTTCTTTATAGTGTTCAACTCCTGCAGATATTCTTCACTGAGAAACTGTGATTGTCTTAGTCTGTTCATTGTTGCTATAATATGAGGTTTTTGCTGCACATGGAAAGAAGAGCCTGGAGAAAACATTGAAGGGCAAATAGCAGAAGCCAAAAGAACCTCCTGCTTTCATGCATGGACTTGAATGGAATTGGACAGGTAGTATCTGATAGATGTACTGTTTCTTCTAAGAGTTAAACAATAAAATACCAAGAGAAGGTCAAGACTGCCTCCTAAATTCACAGTGTCACTTAATGAGATAAGATCTATGAGTGCTTTCAGATTTTTCTGCAAAAGAACACCAAAAACATTTAATATTAAAAAGTGTTGTTATATTTAATTTTTATCCTTCTAGTCTTGGGCCTGAACATTGCTGTTAGAGAATTGTTAATGAAAAAAAACAAGACTGTCCAAATGGAAATATTTTTTCCAGAACTAGTTGCAATCCGTTCCATATGCCAAGTTCTCTCCTCCTACGAGAATCCTAGTCCATAGCAGAACAAGGAGCACAACAGTTACTCTGTAATCACAGTCCATTGAGGTATTCTTGAAGGGGCTTTAATGTTTCAAAATTAATTATGTTCAGCTTTTGAAAGGATTTTATAATATCTTTATGTGCTGCCTTCTGCTGTCATGTAAATCAATAATTGTAGGCTATGCTAATGGAAAAATTCCTGTTTATTAGAATTTTAGCAGGAGCATAACTCTGAAAAGAGTAAATGAAGGATGCATTATGACCTGAATAAATTTACTGTCATTTAGAACTACAGTGTATTCCTGGGATTCCTATGCCAGAGCTGCCTATATAGAAACACATTTCTCTGGATTTCTAGATTATTCTAGAAGTAGAAATCTCAAGAAAGCATTCACAAAAATTTTAAGCCGTATTGGAGTATAAATTAAAAAGAAAACAACCAATTTGTGAATAATACATATAAACCCTTCCTTGCATTGTCTGTAGATGCTAAACATTCTGTTAATCATGAGCTTGAAATGAGTATAACTTCCCTGTTTCACAAACTGACATAGAGAGAAACAATGCTTAATGAAGCTGTATGATAGTGGTGATGAATTTAAATCAAGAGTAATATTGACTAATACATTACGCTGCAGGGGCCAAGTCTGTTTCTTAGTTATATATAAATTACTTGTTATTAGAAAAACCTTAGGGCAACGTGCTGTGGAAATGGGATGAGACATGAAGGGGAGGAAGAGAATTGCTAACAGCCTATTTGACACCCCAGCCACAGCTCTTGAACCCAGAGCACCAGATCCAAGTAGTGTCCAAAGCACTTGCTGTGTCTGAGAATGTGCAGTGTCCAGCAGAGAGCAGGAGCACAACATCTGCAGTGCAATGATAACAAGTCAAAAGCCTTTCATTATCAGCCCCCAGCAGGGAGCAGTGGAGATGCCATATTTATAAATGACCTATTAAATCACTCACCGGTTTGGACTGTGGAGACAGCTCTTTGTGTAGTGTAAGCAAAATTGATAATGAGGAAGATCAGACTGGAGAAATGCAGCTGTGCCCTGGTGTCACACAGTAAAAGTGTTTGGAGTGCAAGCTGCCAAGGAAGCCCACTGAGCTGAAAAATGTTAGTACTAAAGACTTACAATAGTTGGCAAAAAGGAGTACAAGCTTCACAGAGACACCAGTTCTTGCATCATAGTAATTCTCTTTTAAAAAAAGGCTTAGTTTAAAAAATGTGGAAGCCTTGTAATGCACCCCATATGCAATGTGTGGAATGGTGTCCATATGAAACAGAGATCTGTTAAACAGGAAGCAGGAAATTTGCCAGCTAATATTGGATGCTATTGTAATATTTCACAATTGGCATGTATAGAGCACATTAACAGTTCTCAACCTGAGTAAGCTGTTGATCTTTTCATGTTACAGGTAAAGGAATATTTTTATCTAAATCCTGGTTATCATTTTAGATACTTTAAATTCAGCAGCAGTGGCTGTGTTATATTCTGGGATGGTCAGAAGTGCCCAGGCAGTCTTGTGCACTGCAGGAATTCAGCCAAGTGCTTTTTTTCATGTAGTTGGGTTTGTCTGAAGGAGAGGTGCAGTATGTCCTTGCTGGAAGCAGCAGCTCTCAGCACTGGCCTAACTCCAGAACTGGTATTTTATTTAATGTAAATCAAGAGAAATGGACTTACTCCATCTCCATTTTATTCTTCTCTGATAGCAAACAGATGACTTCAAAATTTGCTTCAAGGTTTTTGTTGTTTTTTTTTTTTTTAATTTAACTTTCAAATACTTGTTTATCTTTATTTAGGTGTTACAAATTCCACCAGATTGTCTTTACCTGACTGGAGGTGTAAACCAGGCTGTTGCACAAACCTACTATTGGCATTAAGTCAGTGAACTGTGTGTATCAACTTCTACAGTTTTATAATGGCATGCTTTTAGCTTGATAAATATCTACTGTGTTGCTGTTATGATATTCTCCCTTAAGGGTGTTAATTTTCAAAGACTGAAACTAAGTATGAATTGGTGTTTTATCATCTTTTCCTAGCTTCCCATCCTTCTGTTTTGTAAAACACTGCAAAAAAAAAAATAAAAATTATGGAAGTTTGTTAGTTTCAAAAGCACCTGATGACCCTTAAAAGCAGTGAGGCTTATTTACAAGCTTTCTGGATACCTGATGTATTGGTTAATGAAAAAATATTTGACAGATACATTTAAAGAAATGTATAAAATTTCTGCTCAGAGTTTTAACATGTTTGTAGAAGGTTTAGGAGACCTTTCTGTGTATTTACAACTTTTATTTCCAAGCGTTTGGCAATTCCTAGAGCTTCTGTGTTTTACTTTTTTTTTAAATGACAGTTCAGTCATTGCAAGAATAAAGTGATCTGTAGCTGCTAATTTTCTTGAATACTGAATTTTGATTCTAGAAAATTTACATTATATTTTGCCAAATTTGGATACTAGATTTCTTTCTTCAAAGAGACTTTTCTTGATAAAGAAAGATGCACAGAATTTATGTCTTATATTTCAGTGGAAGCAGTTTAGGCTGCATATGTTTTGCAGGCCTTTCCATTTCCTTGTTGATCTGTAATATAAGCCATAAAGATGATATTTTGCCCTTCAGTGGCACTAATGCTCCATGGCCACTTGGCAGTTCAGTCAATGACTGTGACATGTTAAACAAATGTGGGTGGCAGAAGCCTTAATTCCAGAGGACTTGTCTACAAGTTGAGACCCATGGGGTTTCTCTGCTGTCTGCCCTGTGTTCTTCCCACTGATGGTGTTTAGAATAGGTTCTTTCTCCTATTCTTAGCCACAGATTTTCTTAACATAGGCACATGACATCTCCCAGCAGTTACAACTGGTGGCTATGAATCTTCTGTAAATAAAAATATCTTTCGCAAACCTATATATGATTTGAAATACATTAACTAAAAAAAACCCAAAAATTAAGAAGCCCATTCCTGTACAGCTGCTTTTCCACTGTATATGGGTGAAAGTGCTGGAGTAAGCTGGTAACACAGGTACCACTTGGTATCTATATGTTCAATACCCTTGTGTATAACTAAAATCTAATAGGTAGCTTCTTCAGAGCATAGCATTAATCAATGGCTTAAAAAAATGTCACAAAGAGGAAACAATCCCAATAACAAAGCAGTCTTATTTATATCATTGCTACTTTTTTCCCCACAGTTTTCCATAGGTCAGTCCAGCACTTCTGTTTCAGAGATGACAGAGTCAAGTGACTGTCTTTTTTAAGAAACATTATTACAGAAGGAGTTCCCCAGACAGCATTTCTTTAAGAAGACTCATGCAAAAAATGTAGAAGACTGCTGCCCAAGAACATTAGAATTTCTTACAAATAATCCATATTGTCAGGAATGCCTTCAAGAATATCCAAGAGGGACTAGAAATCTAGTATTTGTAGAAGATGAATGAGTCAGCTGTGAAAATAGATGAGATCTTCTGCTTGACTTTTTGCCCCATTAGGACTGCCCATGTGCTAACATAATTGCATTTGGAAGGAAAGTTAAGAACAGTGCCATAGTACCTGCAGGTGAAGGAGGTAAAGAGCTAGGCTGCAGTATGGCCATAGGGCAATAATAGTAGTTTACTTCTAATCCCATGGATTAAGGTAGGTGCTTTGCTGGTTTTATCATTGTGAAGTGGTGAAATGGTCTTCATATGTGTGTTTGTAGTTCCTGAAATGACTGAGATGCCATACCCTTGTTCTCTGTTATGACACTCAGAAAAAGAAACAGCCTTTAATTGTCTTTTTCTTCTGTCTGCTTGAAGAAAATGGATTTAAAGCAACAGCTTAATATGATTGCTGAATGTATCTTATTGTGTTCCATTATTCTGGGGGTCAGATAACCTGGCTTGAGAATTGTTTGGTATATACTAAGCTGACATATGAGTCTCTGTTTTTAGTCTTTCTATCTTTTCTCCCCTTCCCTGCCCTCCTACCCTTACTCAGTTTTGTGTTGGAGGTACTGGCAATGCCTACTGAGGAGTAGGAAATAGGATCTGTAGCACCTGGTAGCCTTAAACATGAGTGATAGGCTGGGAGCAGGTCCTGTCCCTCTTCAGTTAGTGAGGCTGCTCAAGCTGCAGGTTTTTCCATGGACTGGCAGGGAAGGCACGTGCTGGTACTGAGGGGCAGTGGCACTGCACGTCCTTAAAGCCAGTGGTGCCCGCTGCATTCCCAAGGAGAGCTGGCAACACTGCAGGTGTGCTTCTCAGTACTGAAGAGACAGTGCAGTCCAGGGCTGCAGCTGCTGCTTTTCCAGAGCTGCCCCTGTGTTAACTGCAGCTCATGGCACTTTCCATAGGGCCCTCACAGGTACCTTCAGTTCCTTTGCAAACCAGGTGCTGCCTCTCTAAAGGCACAGTTTTGGTTTTCTCTGTTGTGGGCCACTTAGCTGAAGACTACCACAGCTCAGCAGGACTGGCCCACAAAAGCTGTCAGAAAGCCAGGTTCCACCTCCCAATACACTCGGTGAGCAGGCTGCCTGAAGGAACTGCTCCTTTTGTCTGCCTGGCTCTCTCTCCTTTCTGTCAGCTCTGCATGAGAGCCACTCCGAGAGATCTCTGCATGAGATCTGCTGGGAGCTGTGCTACAGGTTTTACATCTGGTGCATAGAGAAACTTCCCAGTTAAATGTTGCCAGTGATCTTTTCTTAAGGGTTTTAATATCCTTTCTCAAAGCTGTGCAGGTAGTTCGGCAAAATGCCAACAAGACTTATTTTTGACTGACTCGGTACCCTGCTGAGAAGAGTCTCATTTCTGCAGGTCCTCTTCTCTCATAAATCAGTCTGGGAGCCTAGTCCAGGCAGGCAGGTTGTTCCCTCTGCTTTATCTGCCCCGTGGCAAGTATCTGGAATGTGATGCTACTTCTGGGAGCACCTCCACTCCCAGATTTTTCAATAGTAACAGTTCCTTTATGGGCAAACAACTGCGAGTTAGTTACTGGCGTGGAGACCGGCTAGCCTGCATCATTTGGGAGGCAATGGATTAGAACCAATTAGGAGGAGGTGCTCCAGCTCATTTGATAACTTTCCTAACCCTGTTACAGTGTGAAGACAAAGAACCTTGATTAAAAGCAAACAAATAAAAGCCTGGATCTGGGATTCTCCCAGTTGTTCTTGGCAGGTGCCTGCTGTCCTAATGCATTAGTGAGTGCCCTCCTTTGTAGCTGTTTTCTGTCTTCTGAATGGTGCATTATTTGGAACTTGGTTATGCATAGTGTTATAATCATATGTTACTTGGTGCATAAAAAGTACAGTGGCATTTGATTTGCATGTACCTATGCCTTTTCAAAGTAACTTCAACTGCAAATGTTTACTTTATTAGGTTGAATTACTATGAACTGAGAAGTGTGGTCATTGCCTAGCTTTCAGTAATGTTTTTGCATTTGGTTAACATACAATGATTATTTTATTCAGTCTAAATGAAATATAGCACAGGGTGTATAATACACTTATATAGTAGATCTTTTTATAACTTAAATATAATGCTAGATTTAAGTAACAACCATCCATTTTTGTATGTGAGTACAGAATATCAGTGTTTGCTTCATTGGATTTTTGGTTTTTGTGTCTTTTCCTTGCTTCTGCTTCTCTAGGACTTTGGAATCATGTTTACACATCACATTGTAACAGTCACCCTGATTACCTTCTCATATGTAACCAATTTGACACGAGTGGGAACCTTGATCTTATGTCTCCACGATGCGGCTGATATTGTCCTAGAGGTGAGATCATTTGTGTGTCATCCTGTCAGTAGGTAGAATCTTTTTGTTATGCAGAACAAGTGGTTCCTAAGCCAGTTTAAGATGGTAATGGTGGTTAATATGGTGTATTCCTTGCTTAAATATCTTGCACATGGAGCAGCACATATTTCTGATTTCAGACTGGTTTATCCTTTGATATGTTGCTTGTACAGAGCAGAGACAGGTAATGCATTGCATGCCAGGGAGGGTTACATGCAGATTCTAAATACAGCATGGGAAAATCAAAAGCTAAAGCTGGAAAATCTGGAAAGTGGGGAAAGTGGGTCAGCTAGTTCTTAACCCCTGTGACATGGTATGTGGAGAAATGACTCTGTCTCTGAAAGAATGAAGGTGTCACAGGTGTTACTGCTCTGCTTTGCTGGGCAGAGGGTGTTGGACAATTTAATGGCTTATTTGGGCATGGCCAGTGAGTTGACCTCTGACTTTTCAGGTTCCCATGCCTCTGGATCCCAGTACCAACAGTTGTATTTAGAGAAGAAGGGATGATTGAAATTCTTTTAAGTCAAGAGGGTCTGTAACTTCCATAGTGATGGCTTAGAGATGTTGTCATCCTTTATCTGTATCAGTTACTAGACAGCTCTGGGTCATGCTGGAATCTGGCTGTCTCTGAACTCTCCTCCAAACTTAATAACTGTTTCGTCTGAAATTAATTTTTATTCATGTACCCACAAAGATTCCTGTTATGCAAGAATATAGGCTTACTGTGTGAGTCATCTATTGCAAAATCAAAATCCTGCCATTCTGATTCAGTAGTGCTGTAAATATGTTTTTATATTTTAATCTTTTTTGTTTTAGAAGGCACATAACTGCCTGAGATAGAAAGCAAAAGAGAATGTGGATTTTTTGTGATAAAAATAATCACGTCTTTGCAAGTTTATTTTTCTATTTTAGCAATGTATATAGCTAGCTGTGACTTCACCTAAACTTTCTTCATTCCTCTTTTCTCATCACCAGAAAGAAGTACTTAAAGATGTTTATTCTAGATCAGACCAGTGTCTGTGGAACTATAAAAACACTAGAGAGCAGCTGTACTAGGCTAACTAAAACTTTACTCTCTGTTCATTCACTAAGACAAAGAGGAATTACTGGTATTCTCAGTGTAGTTGCAAACATCGATCAGATGTGCTTCCTCATGAGCACATACTTAAGTGGTCTTTCTAGTCAGTTCTTTCAGACCAGTTTGATTGGAAATTCTGCTAGGGCAGTGTGTCACAACATAGGTGCCATATGAGAGGAGATGGACTCTTGCATACTGCTGACATTACTGAGGGGAAGGTCAATGCAGAGGAAAAACCTATCAAACTGCAAAAAAAGTTGGTTAAATATCTTGCCATGATGGGTCAGTTGTGCACCTGACCTGTGTTACCTAGTAGATATTTGTAAAAATGAAAAGCTATTTCTGGTGGCCACTAGACTCTTTCCATCTACCATTTCACAATGAAACACATCCACTGGAAAGCTGGAAAGCATAATTTTTTGTTATTCTCATTGCAAAAACTGCACTGGTGGGAATACTGGAGGTGACATTTTTTCTACAGGTCTTAAGGTATCTGGAAGTATGGAAGAACCATAGTAGGATTTTCAAGAAATTGTAATTTTGTGTTCCTCAGTTGTAGTCATGGTTTTTAAACTCAGGAAATTGTATTCTATTGTCTTAGGTGGCCAAATTCCATCCTATAACAACATATTAATTCCCTTTGTAGTCTTTATCACTATAATTTGTAGAGTTATTGTAATTTGTTATTTGAGAACCAATGTTCCAATAGCTGTACTGTTTTTGAGAAATGGCATGCTACTACTACAAGTTGCTATAGTAATATCAGCCTCATGCACTATGAAACCAATTTTTAACAATGCCACCATGGAAATACATCCAGAATTCCTGTACTGAATTTTCCATCATCTGAAAAGCAAGGAAGCTAGTAATGCTTCTGCTTTGTATGTTGGCACCAAAGTGTTCTCTTTTCCTTAAAACTAGGCTGGGAGTATGAACTGCTAGGAAATTTGTGTGTGTCCTCTAGAAAATAGGGCTGATTCAGAAAGGTTATGTTTTCTTCACAGCAGTGGTAGCTTTCCTAATGTTCTGGGAGCTTCCTAACTTGGTTTATTTAGTGAGAAATAATCTTCATGTTCAGGTTTTTAGTGGGAATGTTGCAGAAATTGGGTAACAACCAAAAGTGCAGGTCTGGTTTTGGCATCCAGATTATCTACTTCTCTAGTTTGAATTCTCTGGTTCAGAATTGTATTCTATAAGCATAGCTGTAGTAATTTTGCTCCCTCTTCATACTCTGGAATGCCTGCACAAGTATCTTCTGGGATCCTGGGAGCTGGATGCAGGTCCCTCAGAAAGGAGCTTTGAAAGGGTTCCCAGTGGCTTAAGTGGACTCTCTGGATACATTTGACAGAAAACATGAAGAAAGACTGCCCCTATCTCAAAGCAGATATTATTTTAAAATAATTAACTGCTTGCACACATTAACACTGTGGGAGCAGTACAGACATCTTAAAACAAGCTTCCTTCCCTATATACCATTTTCTTCAGGGAGAAAAAGGTAAAGAAACTTCTGGGAAGATCAGTGTTTTACTGAGCAGTTTCAGAGAAGGGTAATGAATTAGCGAGTCCTTCACTGGGAAGGAGTCAGAAGATTGCATGAAGACAAGTGAGAAAAGCATGTAAATATAAGCATAAGGCAACAAGTTAGAAAGCAGAGGCTGAAAAGAAAGACTTGGAAAAATACTTGAAGGGGAGGTGTATAGTCTTTGAGGTGGAAACTACTCTGTATAGGCAGAAAACAAAGAAGAAGATGCTTCAGGAAAAATGTAGTATATGTGGTGCACTAGAGGAATTGAGACAAAATTTATATCTAGTAGTTACTAGAAGGTCAGAGAGCATGGGGCACATGGAAGATGGATGTTGAAAATGACAGTGAAACATACTGGAAAGGTGAGAGATAAGTTGGTAAAGATGGTAGGGACAAAGACACCATAAGCATACTGGGGTTCCCAATAACCCTCATAAAAGGCTTAGAAGAGTTTTACAGATCTGAAGTTGTAGAATCTCAAAAATGAAATTGAGAGGGAAATAAAAAAATTAAACATTTAGAATAGTTTTATGTAGTGTGGTTTGGTTTTTTTTCCAAAGAAAATATTTTCCAGCTGCTTGGTGGAGAGGAGTTCCAAGATCACTAAGAGGTGGCCCAGTGAAAATGTTAGCAATTTCATAAAAATTTTATTTCTTCTTTTTCTTACAGCTTATACTCTGTACAAGAGAATTCAGTTGTCCTCATGGAAGTAAATCACATCTTTTTCTTTTGCAGGCTGCCAAAATGGCAAACTATTGCAAGTGTCAAAAACTGAGTGACCTTCTGTTCCTTACATTTGCTGTTGTCTTCATTGTCAGTAGGCTTGGCATATATCCCTTATGGTGAGTAAGGACATTGTTTTCCTCAAGCTCTAGGCACCAAACAAGCTTGGAAATAACTGTGTTATAATTCAACACCATTCTTTGCTGTTACTCTGTTTCCCAAAGCACCAGGGACAGTTTCAGACATAACCAGGTGCTGAAATAGCCTATTTGCTAGAGTGCCATTGTGTTTATGTGTGCTAGATGAGAAACATCTGGGTCTTCTGCTGGTTTTAAGCTAGAAGTGGGTTGTAGGCAACATAGCTTAAGTCTAGCAGGTGGCTGGCTGTATTGGCAGGAAAAGAGAGGAAAATGAAAATATTAGTCACCAAAAAAATTAATCAGCAGCTAAGCTTGAAGCTAGAATATTCTCAATAGCTTTCAGTGCATTCTTCATGAACACTTTGAGCTTAAAGAAAAACACAGTGGAGTAAGTAGTCTGACCTGCCATAAGGATGTTATTGCCATGCAGATTGCAATACTGCACGCTGCTCCTTTTCCACCTCTCCTTTGAATTGGGGCTCCTGGGGCAGCTGTGTAACACTTACGTCTAGAAGGTAGTTTCACAGTTTTTAGTTTAATTTCGCATCTTCCCAGACAGTCAGCTGCTTGCATGTGCTTGCACTCTTGTAAGCACACAGACTTGGCATAAATGTTTGGTTCTTTAGCTAGGATCTTCTGCATCCAGGGGGCTCATTAGGAAACACATGGATGTACTTCATTGTAAAAATGCATTGAAGTCTTTCTGCAATCTGTGCACTACATATGAGGAGGACTGAGAGAAGGTGTTGGCCTTGGCTCTTTACTATTCTCAAGCTTCTCTTTCTTATAAACAGAACTAGCACAGATATCTGTATTTATAGGAAAGTAAGAGAGGTCTTTCATTGCACCAGAAGATAACAATGACAGTTTTGTTTTTGGGAAGCAACAAGAATGACAGAAATTATACCCTTTGTAAAGTTTATTTAGATTACCACTGAGCTCCTTATTCAGACATGCAGAGGATTTACTGATGCCAATGTCAACCTCCCTGCTACAGTTTCCTTTCCAAACCTCACTAATGACAACTCTTTGAGGTTTTGTTAATGCAAACAGGGTAAGACCAAGATGCCCTTAGGGAACTGTGTCATCAGCTCTGCTTAACCCTACAGGGTAGAAGTCTCATTTAGCATTTGATGACTAAAGATATTGTCATAATGCCTGGTCCCTATGTGTTGTGAGTTGGTGAACAAACATGACAAAACATGGAAATGGCTAGACACACTACCTGCATGTTTAGAAAAACTTATTTTTTTTCTTTCTTAAATAGTTTTGCTTCCCTTGCTCAGTCCTTCCTTGAAGCCTACTGGGCCATTCACTGAATTTCTGAAAATGAAATAAGTTGATTTTTCTACTTCCATGATCTCACATAGGAAACATGGTGGCATTCCTGCTCATAGGATTTCACCTGACCCTTGCTTTCTCTTTTATATTGAGAAATGGAGGGAGGACCCAATTTCACCAGTGCATTTCTGCCCCTGGAGACTGCAGTATATAACTGTGCTTAAGGGAAGGCTCAGTCAGATGAGGACTGGATGGGTTTGCAAAGAGGAAATCATACTTGGCCAACCTGATAACCCTCTATGATGAAATTACTGGCTTGTAATTACATAATTACTGGATTATCGGGCAGAATGCACCCTCAGCAAGTTTGCTCATGTTCCCACCTGTGAGGAATGGCTGATACACCACAGGGCTGTGCTGCCATCCAAAGGGAAGGAACCTCAACAGGCTGGAGATACAGCAAACAGGAGACTCAGAAGTTCAGCAAAAGCAGTGCAGGGCCCTGAAACCAGTATTTTCTGGGGGCTGACCACCAGGAAAGCAGCCTTGCACCAGAGGAACTGGGGGTTCCAGTGGACACTGGGGTGAACATGAGCCAGCTCTGTGCCCCTGTGGTAACGAAGGCTGGTGGAACTCAGGGCTGCCTTAGGAGGGCTGTGGCTGAGACAGGTGACCCTTCCTTTCTACCAGCCCTGCTGAGGCCACATGTGGAGCACTCTGTCCAGTTCTGGCCTCCCCAGTATCAGAGAGGCACAAAGCTACTGGAGACAGTCCAGCAAGCAGTCACTGAGATTGATTATGGGACTGGAGCACCTCTCACATGAGGAAAGGCTGGGACAGGCAGGATGGTTTAGCATATAAAAGAGAAAGCTCAAAATGGGTATTGGCAATGTAGAAATACATGAAGGGAGAGTGTACAGAAGACTGAGCCAGGGATTCCATCAACAGGAATGCAGCAGCTGACAGTGTGCTGTGCACTCCCTGTCACAACCAGAGTGGTTACCCTGGTGATCCCTCTGCCTTGTCATGGTTTAACCCCAGCTGCCAACAAAGCCCCACGAAGCTGCTCTCTCACTGCCCACCAGTGAGATGGGGGAGAGAATCAGGAGAGTAGAAGTGAGAGAACTTATGAGCTGAGATAAAAACAGTTCAATAGGTTAAGGCAAAAGCTGTGCACACAAGCAAAGCTAAACAATGCGTTCATCCACCACTTCCTGTGGGCTGGCAGGTGTTCAGCCATCTCCTGGACAGCAGGGCTCTATGTGTAATGGTGACCTGGGAAATGCAAACGCTGACATTCTAAACATGATCCCCTTCCTCCTTCTTCCCCCAGGTTTGTATGCTGAGCATGACACCATATGGTATGGAGTATCCCTAGGGGCAGCTGTCCCAGCTGTGTCCCCTTCTAACTCCTTGTCCATCTCCATTCTCCTCACTGAGGGCTATGTGAGGAGCAGAAAATGCTTTTACTCTGTATGAGCACTGCTCAGCAATAACAGAAACATCCTGGAATTACCAACACTCTTTCCAGCACAAATCCAGAATATAGCCCTATACTATCTACCACGAAGAAAACTAAGTCTTTGCAAGCTCAAACCAGCGTATCCCTTAATCAATGAAAAAGACTTTTATTTATTTCAATATGCAAATAATTTAGTGTGGTATAGATGATATTTTGATTCTTTTTAAGACCCTTTTATTTCCAGACTAAAACCTTGATGTATGTCAATCCCTGTATGGGCCATTTACTTAATAGTTGGACTCGATGATCCTTGTGGGTTCCTTCCAACTAAGAATATTCTGTGCATCTATTCCTAATGGCTACCCTTAGATAAAGCCAGAGGCAGTTTCATTGTTCTCAGCTGTGCTGTAGGCAATGTATGTGGGAGTCAGAGTTAGCAGGGAGGAGCCATGGCATACATGAGCTTGTGTCTCCCAAATCCTTTTCCTCTATGAAACAGCAATTCTAAATCTTCAGCTCTATTAGTTTGCATGTCAGCAAAGATGACTCACTGGAGTGGCAGCAGGCCAGGAAGTATAGTTTTGCTCTCCTTTGCTGAAAATTCAAAATAGCAAAATTTGGTGCCTGATTAATATTACATAAATATGCAAATTTTTCTAGCATAAGGGCTGAGAGGTATAAAATCATTGTGCATGTAATGTAAAAGCAAGGCTGTAATTTACAAGAAAACCTCCCCCATGCAGGAAGGTGAATACTCAAGACAGGCTTGCAGAGATGTCACTTCCGAAGCGCTGGTGTGCTGTGGTGCTGCCCCTTTGCACAAGTGCCATTGCATTGTGCATAAAGGTGCTAATAAAGAATTCAGAATGTATCAAATGCTGTTGTTTGAAGGCTGTTTAACAGCGGGGCTAAGACAAAAGAAACTGGCAATTAGGTATATATTTAGGAGTCTTTCTGCAGACATCTGGAGTTCATTTCAGCAATAATTCAAAAACCCCAGGATACTTTCTGCCTCCTGCTGCTAAGTGAATGTAGGAGTAAAACTGCTATTTTCACTGACAAGACATTTTGCTTGTGAAATTCTCCCACTTGCACATAATCACTGTTCTAACAAATTACAACATAGAGCACAACTCTCCATGAGTCAGGGGGAATATGATGCCTTCTCAGGTGATACAGGATTGTAGGGAGAATAAAAGCAATCTCAACCAAAAAATAATTGAATTTAGACAAGCCCTTGGCTAGTCTAATCAGGCTGAGTAAAGCAGTTACTTCATGCTCAGGGAATCTGGGCTTATATTTATTTACCAGGTTAAGGCACCAAGCCAGTTAAATTTAGGCTCTTTCAAATTGCTCTGACTAGTTACTAGCATGCAGTTTTCTGGAGTTTTTCACTTCTTTTGATTACTTTTATAATGAGTTATGAGTAAAATAGTGCCTTAACAGTGCAGATTTAAGTGAAAGCCTGATTGAAGCAGATTATAAAGACCAGAGGTCACATTCTGCATATGCTGTCCCACAAGTTCTCATCTAGGCAAATTTGGTATAATCCAGGTAGTCCATATTATGCCCTTCTGTTCTTTATCTCCTTGTACACTGTCAGTGTCCAGAGTATTGTATCACATTAAAAGCTGTGAAAATGGACAGTCAACTACTTAGATTAGTTGGTTTAGTCTTGTTTCATGCCAGTAGGTGCATCTTAGCTGGCTCTTCTGTTTGCGAGTCTGTTTGGAAATATTTTGGGGGAAAAAATGGGAAAAAATAATTCTCACTGTTAAAATTCGAAGCTGTTTCAGGTGTATGTCTCCTCATCAGCTGCAGTATGTGGCTTCTAAATGAGTTTTTGGTGCCAATGTACCTTATATAAGTATGGGTCAGCCAATCCTCAGAAGAACAACTTTGCTCCTTACTATTCTTTCATTTTTAAAGCTTGTTCATGACAGTACACACAGTCTGGCTCATGGCTGCTATCTAATTTTATGTGGCAGTGAGCATCTGCATGAACCAGACAAGCCTGGTGTGATTCTTCACCTGTTGATCGTGGTGAGCTGTAATGAGCCCTAGTTACTTATTACCAGACCTGCAGTCATCTCTGCAGGAATGGCAGAATAGCTCCTGTTGAGTTCCACCACTGGCTAAACACTAGTGTGGTGCATAGCCCTGTCCTTAATGCACACGCTGTGTTTCCAAATAGTGATCCAGTAATGCCAGTTTGAACTGTTCTCGTTCATTTATC